GCTGGGGATGAGCAATTCCATCCTAGCAAACGCATAGCTGTAGGACCAGGCACAATGCAGGCAGCTATTTTGAAAAGAACAGATCTACCTATAACAGGTCCACCCAGACATCTTGATCTTGAAAGCCAGCCATTCAAGTGAACTATTAGGAGACTGCTGGCCTTGAGGAATAATTGATAACATATTTCAAGGATTGCCTAAACATCTGAAAGCATCAACTCTTCAGCTTTTTCAGGGCAGGGGGGGGAAGTAAGACAAGCTATAGTATAGGAAAGCTGATGTCAGTTTAAATATCTTTCCCATGTCAAAGCAGCACACAGAGCACATTTAATTGTTCCACTGAATCCATGGCAAAGTGATTTGCCCTCTAACACTGAGTAAACCATTGGTAGGGGCACAACTGGAACCCAGGTCTCGCTCTCCTGGGCTGTGCTCCAAGGCACATGTATGGCAACAAGCAATGGATGAAACCACCTGGCCTCCCATGTCAAACCCTCTGCCTTTAGCAATCAGGAGTTGCACTTACAGATTTCAATTGACTGATACTGCTTTCCTCTCCATATCCATCCTCAAGAAACATCACTGCTGTAGCAAGCACTAGGAATTACTACGTGACCAGAATAAGTACTGATTTGTAGTTACCAGTACAGCCTGGATAGGATAAGAATGCCTACTTGGACAGTCCTGTTCTTTGTGACATTGTGGCGCTAATGTTCATTCACAAAAAGAAATTTTTAGGCTGAGGTATAAGTGTTTTGAAGGTCTATCTATCACAGTTGGACTTTGCATCCACCCCAGCTAACTTTTGTGATGCTACTGTAAAGCTAGCAGTGAGAAAGAGTTATCATCCTGCATTGCTTTCCAGTTCATGTTTGGGGGTTTTCTTTCAGCGACCTCAACCTCACATCCAAAGAGGTTTCTAGTCTAAGCACTGCATCTTGTCTCAGAATTTTCTAACTACCACACTTGAGTTCACAAGGACTTGATGCATGACTAATTTGAAACTACAGGAAAATAGGATGAGAAGTTAAGCTGGGAGACCAGCAATTCCAAAGACAACTAATATGAATGCAGGCATCCTTTGAGAACCAAGCTACTTCCAGCATGGGAATAAGCTTCCCTTAACTCTGTTAGCAAAGCTTCTTATGTCCAAGGCTGGAGGACAACAGTTTCTGCTTGGCAGACAGCCCCTCCATTCTTAGGCCATGGGTAAGACCTACTTCCCATTCTCGCTGCCTTAACAGTAGCAAGTTAGAAATGCATGTGCACGAATGTGAATTTCAAACAAAATAGTGAGGCTGCTACAATCTATACAATGCCAACAAACACTACTGCCTGGATTTCAGTCATTATTACTTGACATCCCCTACAGAAGTTCAAAGCAATTCAAGCACATGCAAAGATAGACTGCAAGTGTCTTGGTCTAATAACCAAGATCTATCGACTGAAACCAACCAGAAGCTAGAATTTTCATTTTAAAAAAAAGAAACAAAGCAAGCAACATTCCACCAGAACAAGTATTCCACAATTTCATTTTGAAGGATGTGAATATCAGCAGTCCTCAGAGCCTCAAAAGCCAATCTCTGAGACAGCCTGCAACCTAGATACAAAGGACTATATCAGCTATTGAGTTTTGAATGGTTTTCTAGGTGGAAGACAAAAAGATTCCAGCGGCTTTTTTTTTTTTTCCTTGGAGAAATACAACTTTTATGACCAGCTAATTTAAAAAAAAAAAAAAATTATAGCAGATTCCTAAACAGCTGAATCATGCCTTCACTTGCTGATCAAGGACAGAAGACAACTGCAGGAACATGGTGTCTTGTACCAAGGAAACACGTCAGCTGTAGAGCATCGCATCAGTACATGCCACAACATACCAAAACCTGGAACTGCAGCAGTAACTTTCAAGGCTCTGGCCTGCTTATGCTTGGCTGATGCTACCCAGGAAAAGTGCCAGAAATCACTGGGAAAAGCACTTCACCGGAAAGGTTGCAGATGAGAGAGAATAGCCATGTAGCATCATTAATAGTAATTACCTACCCACCATCCTGTGTCCTCCACAGCCTCTCCAGAGCAGAGGCCAGCAAACTCTGCTGTGACGGAGCTGCTACTGCTTCACATAATTCAAGTGCTACTAAGATGCCCTGTTTAGATGGCAAAAGGAACACTGAACAATGTAAACAACAGTTTATACCAGTCTGATTCAGTTGCCTGAAAAAAGGTTTCACGCCCACATAAATCAACGTCAGACTTTAGAGCAAAAAGCCTCATTCTTATCCAGCACCATATTAAGTCCAGAAAAGCACAGCTATCCCAACCTGAAGCTACACCCTGCAGGAGGCTCCCCCCAAAGGTCCAGCATTGCAGCTGGGTAAAGTTTTCCCACGGATTTTCCCATCAGAAAGTGAAGCTGTTAGACATTTGCCAACAACAAAACTCCACCACTCAAGGGGAAATCAAAACATACAAAGATTGCTTCAACGCATGATATTTGACTAAGCACTTGAATTTTTATTTCAGAACATCCACCAGTGATTTTTCCCTCCCTTCAATTTTTTTATTTCCCCCTCTGCTTTAAACTAGAATAGGAGATTCTCACATGGCAAAGTGCCATTGGACAAAAAAAAAAAAAAAAACAAAAAAAAATTTTCCCGCTTTTCCCAAATCACTGTTTTAAACAGCTTTAGATGGTTTTACAACACTTT